TGCCCTGCCGCACGCTGCTTCTTAGGCCCCCCTGCCGAGCCATCCGCGGAGCCGGTCAGAGGGTGGGTTGGCTCTGGGTGTGCCCTGCACGTCGGTGTGGCCTGTCATGTCGGCAGCTGCCTTACTTCAGAAGCCAGACGAGCAGGACCTGGGCAGGGCTGGCCACTTTCTGCAGGTCTAGCAAGGAGAGAGCACTGGAAAGGGCTTGGGCCAACACGGTGTCAGCTGACTCAGGACCCAGTTCTAGCTCTTGGGCCCACAGACATGGGGTAGCTGTGGGCCCTTCTGCTTCTGTGACATGTCCCATGTCGTGTGCATCACTCCCCAAGTTCCTTCCTTCTACAACGTTTTCTTATCCTGTTGCCCCAGGACCTGGGCGACGCAGTAGGGGATGAGGCCGGCAGCAGCCACCGGCACGGCCGCGCTCTTACAGAAAGACAGGACGTAAAACAGCAGCTCCACTGTGGTGGGAGGCTTGAAGGAGTCGAGTTGAGGCCCAGCCCCAGCCCAAATAGGATGCCCAGGTTCCGGAGGAGGCCGGCGAAGGGGGTGGTGTCAATGTGGACCCACTCCGGCCGGTCACACCACCGCTTGGCTTTCTCCAGAGTCCACAGCAGGTCCGCCCCGAGGGCGTTCAGGAGCAGGTAGTACCCCAGGGCGAAGCTGATGGTACTTGGTCCAGCTGAGAAGGCAGGGGACTGGACTCAATGACCTTTCAAGGTCCCTTCCAGTTCTAGGAGATAGGCAATCTCCATTATAAAAAAAAACAAAAAAAACAGGAAGAAGATGGTGCCCAGGCACCGCCGGAGACTGGTGGTTCATCACTGAGCCCACTAATGAGTCGAGCTCTGCACCACCTCCTCCCTGGGAAAGAGCAGCATTCGGGCGGCTGTATCCTCTGTGAGCACGGAAAGGCAATCGGAACCACCCCTCTCTCTCTGTGCCACCAGACCCTCCTCCCCAGGCCACACCCTCGGCACCCGCCCTTCCAGACAAGGCAGGTGGGCAGTAAAACCTGCCCGTGCCTGGAACTGCCTGAGCCGGGTCGCTGCGTTGAAGGGATTGGGGAGGCACATGCCCCCGTGGGCTGTGTGGGACTACAAATGCCATCGGGGCAGGCAGTGGTGCCGAGCCATGGCTTGCATCTCAGCCTCTATCCTGGGCTCGTTCCTGCCGGGCTGCCCAGGCTGCTGGGCATGGCAGAGCACTCCAAGCCAGGGCACGAGAGCAAGGAACGGCTTTGAACACAGGCCTCCCAGAGACAGGCTCAGGGAATGGCTCCATCTATTTCCGTTGAAAGAGCCGAGGCGGAGGAGCTGCGACCACATCTCCCCGGGGAACCAGCATTTGGTCATGGCTCCACCCAGCAGGGAAAGGCCCCACGCGGCCAAAGACTGGGAATGGAAGCCGGAGGGATTCAGCCAGGAAATGGGGTGTGGGTACATTTGCAGCAGGGGGAGTAACTGCTGGGGTGTGTAAGGGTGAAATAAGGGATCTTGATGTTTGTGACAGGTAATGGGGCACGTCCCAGGCAAACCCTGCTTCTATGGATTGACAGACTTGCTTGGATCCTTCTTTTCCTGCTTGCCCAGGATAGATACGCATGCAGCGGTGCCAAAGAAGTAACTTTGAAAGAATGCTCTCCATGTTAACTGTGCTTTCTTCCTGACCCCTGTGTCCCTTGTAAGTTGCTGATTCAAGGAGTTTCATGATGTGAGAACTGCTGACCTCAACCACAAAGCTGTCACCAGTAAACGGGGGCGGAGGTAATTATATTCATCACATTATGATTATGCATTATACGGGTGTCCACATGACTAAATTAGGGCTTGCGGGGTGATGTCATCGATAAGTGTATTTCCATACGGACGAAGATGAAAAAGGTGAACCAGCGGTTCAATTGTTGCTCACTCGGAGCCTTGTATTTCCATACGGACGAAGATGAAAAAGGTTCAATTGTTGCTCACTCGGAGCCCAATTTTGAGGGTGTCCGAGGTGGAATGGAGCCCTCCTAACCCATCTGTCTCATCTGTTCTTTCCTAACAGGAACTAAGCACAGGAACAAAGTATCCAGGGTCATGGTGGATTCTCCTGCACTTTTTACATCACGACTGGGTGTTTCTATAAGCCCGGCTCTAGTTCCAAAGGAATGACTGTGGGCAGTCCCAGGTCCTGTGCTAGGCAGCGGCCCGAGGCCAGACTACAGTAACACAACGGTCCCTCCTGGCCTTGGGGTCCCTCCTGGCCTTGGTAGCGGTGCGGTTGGGAGGAAGAGCAGCGACGGTGCCACGTGATCGCTTACCTGAGAGGACCCCAGCGATGACTTGGTGAGGAAAATGGGCAGCGATGAAGACTCGAGACAAGCAGACGCAGACCTGGACGGCCCAGAACCCGGCCCACAGGGCTGTCCGCAAGCACCTGCAAGAGGGAGACCTTTGGTTAGACACAAAGGGCAACACAGCTGGTTCCCTGCCCCCTCGGGTGGAGAGGCTGGAATCTCAACCGTGTCTCCCTGCACATACCGGCTGAAGTTCCAGCTGGTGGAAAGGAAGGAAGGTCACCTGATAAAACCTTCCGTGCCTGCCAGTCACCGAACTGAAAGGGGCATCCAGCAGCCCCCCTGGGGCAGGAAGAGGTTCAGAGCCAGAGATTTGCCCTTGGCTGTGACCCAGAGAAAGCTTAAAACATCCAGTCGGGGACAAAAGCACTCGGTGCTGGTCTCCCTGTGCTGCCAGCGACAGCAGCCGCCAGACTTCCCCGTCTTCAGTGAGGCAGCGTTAGGACACGTTAGGCAACTGATCCCCTCACTCCTTTGTGGCCTAGTCCAGAAATTCCCCTCAGCCCAGGCCCTCCAGTTCCTTCCCAGCCACTGCAGCAGAGCAATGCAGTCTATGGGATTCTTTCTCCAGGCGGTAGCTTGCTTAGTGCTCATACAGTGATCCCACCCCATCCAAAACCCTGGTTCCACGTGTGCATTGGTGTGGCCGGGCTTGTCGCCCTGCTGGCCTCCTGCAGCAGTGAGTTCCACAGCTCAGCTGCATGCAGCAGGAAGACTCATTTCCTTTGGTTCAACGTACGCCTCCCACCGGCCTCAGGGCCTCCCCGGACCTTGCAAACCCAGAAGCACAACAATCCGAGCGCTGCTTACTGGTGCTTGATTGTCGGCTTCTTCTTCCCCAGAGCAAGCGACAGAATGGCAGTCACCATCACGTAGTAAACACCTGCCGAGCCCATCGCGTGGCCGGAGGGACTCCCTGGGGGGGAGAAAGCGAAGGTAGGACACTTCCTTGGGTTGTTCCCTGCCCACATCAGTACACGCAACCTCCTACCACATGCCTGGAGTGCTGAGGTCTCCCAGATTCAGAGCTAAGAGGCTGCATCAGCCCAGCTTGGCACAGCTGGCTGCAGGAGGGTGCTAGGGTGGGGCAGGGAGGGCCAAGCACAAAGAGAATCCCCCATATGCAGCACTGGAGGAGGGGTGTCCTTAACAGGATTGGGTGGATGTAAGAGGGGAGTGACCCAGCAGCATTAATGTAACCCACACACCAACGGTGGGAGGTCACTGTCCCACATAGGGGCACTGAGACCATGGACAGAGAGAACAAATGAGTCTGCTCTACAGCCTTCGCTGAGTGCCGGCTGGCTTTTCGCTCAAGGTGCACCAAGCTCCAGAGGTCCCAGGTTCGGTTCCGCCTGTTGCCCTCACACTAGCACGAGGCCGGGGAATGGGACAAGATTCCTCAGGGCCAGTGGCCCACTCACACACAGGCCCCGCCCTTCACGCACAGCCGTGAGGGAAATGCCGCCAGAATACTTGGCGCTTGTGCAAACCGAGCCTCGCTCTGGGGATTAACCCTTCACTAGTCCCCTGCAGAGACCAGCCCAAGCCACGGACTGACACCTCCATGTTCAAACCCCCTTTCCTCCCCCACACGCGGTCCTCAGTGCCACCATGCTTGGAGCTAGCGGGCAGACCCCACAATCCCTGCTCTCCGGCACTGCCCAAGGCTACAGAGAGCACCAGGGGGAGAGGTGGCATTAGGAGGCAAGGGCCTGGCTCCCAGCCCTGTGCTTTCTCCCCCCGCCACTGACCCCTCCCTGGGGAGATGCACCTCGGCAGGTAGAGGGAACCGCTATACACGCAGTTGTGGGGAGACCAGGCGGGGGAGGTAGCAGGTTTTATCCAACCAGCGTCGGTGAGGGAGGCGAGCTCCTCATTGTCAGAAAGGCTCCTGGGGGCTCCAGAGCTTGTTGCCCCCAACAGACACTGGCCCCATAAAAGAGATCTCCCCCCCCCTCCCCCGCCGCCTTGTTCCTCTGCTATCCTGGGGCCAAGAAGACTGCCCACCTTGCACTGCAGCTGTCCATCCAGCAGAGAGCAGCAGTAAGTGGGGGAGGGTGAACATGCGTGTGCAAGAGCATGCTGTGTGTGTGTGTGCACATGCGAGGGTACAAGCGCACGGGTGTGTACATCCCATGCATACACAACAGCTGGCACAAACAGCCAGGGCACCTCTGCAACGGTGCCACCCTGGCTTCCGACTTAACTCTGCAACAAGCGTTTAATTCCAGCCTAGATCCCGGGTCCCTTGCAAACAAAATCTGCCCTGGTCCTGGGCCAGCCTGCTGTTCTCCTGGAAGGCACGGCTTCTTATCGCCTGGGCCGGGCAGGCTCTGAGGGCAGGCAGCCCTTTGTCATGCAGAGGTTAGATAGTTGTTCTTAATCTCGGTAATTGCTCAGTCCGAGCAAAGGTTTCTTCTACAGTCCAAGTTCAGTCCAAGGCAGATTTTGCCTACACAGACTGGCCCGCCCCTAACAGCTGGCAGGACACAATCCGCACATTCAAAGTCTCCCGTTCTTCTCCAGGGAGCAGGGAATGCTTAAGGACAGCGGCTGTAGCCGCTGCGTCGGGCACAAAAGCACCAGTTTAATAGTATGGCCCACGGGCTCCATATTTCCTTTCTTTAAAGACTGAGTCATCTGTGTGCTCGTCCACACTGTGACACTCATCCAAATTACCTACCCGCGTAAGTTTAAAATAAATCACTCAAACTGCACCCTGCCCCTGGGTGAACAGGGCGCCCTCGCTCAGAATCAGTGGCCTGCATTCCATGTAATGCCATTCATTCTGGAAGTCAATTAAGCTCATACTCGAAGCACCATCCATCCCACTGACGTTCCCACTGACGTTCCTTGACTTCCCAAATGAACCAAAGCTCACCAAATTCAGGTGATTTAATTCTGAATGGGTGAGTCCACCCCGGGGCTTAAGGCCACTTCACTAATCCGCATACTTTGGAGGTCGGGGTTAAAATGCAAAAAATGATCTTGAGACATGGGCAAATTGGTCTGAAGTCACCGAGACGACAGCCAGTAAAGACACGTGCAAAAGTACCACGCTCGAGAAGGAAAAGTCAAATCCACCAAATAGCTGTGGGTCAGAGCTACCGAGTCACCAATGAGATGCAATTGTGAAAAGGACAACTCTAACCGTTGGCGTTGTATGTATAGGATGCCCGTATGTCCCATTTTGGCCCCTGGTTGGTGCCTTTTTTAAACTCTGTCCTGGCCATCCCGACTTTTTGGGACTTGATCAGTTGGCAAGAGCAAATAGACAGATACCTGCTTTTGTCAAGAAAGGGGTGTGGTGTGGAGGAATGTGTGGGGTGGGGGAAGACTCCAGCCCCATTTAGGGTGGGAGGCAGAACTCCACTGGTTCCAGTGACCAATGACTGTCTCATGGGGTGGGGCAGATGGCTCAGGCCAGTCCCAGACAGTGTCCTGTTTTCCCTTTGGGAATTATGGTCACCCTGGCTACGTCTACACTGGCACGATTTTCCGGAAATGCTTTTAACAGAAAAGTTTTCCGTTAAAAGCATTTTCGGAAAAGCACGTCTACATTGGCACTTTTTGCGGAAAAGCGTCCGTGGCCAATCTAGATGCGGTTTTCCGCAAAAAAGCCCCGATCACCATTTTCGCCATCGGGGCTTTTTTGCGGAAAACACTTCTGTGCTGTCTACACTGGCCCTTTTGCGCAAAAGTCTTTCGGAAAAAGACTTTTGCCCGAACGGGAGCAGCATAGTATTTCCTCAAGAACACTGACAATCTTACATGAGATCGTCAGTGTTCTTGCAGAAATTCAAGTGGCCAGTGTAGACAGCTGGCAAGTTTCCGCAAAATCAAATGATTTTGCGGAAAAACTTGCCAGTCTAGACACAGCCCCTATGTCTGTAGGGCACAGGAGGGAACTGTCTGCTTTACTTGGCACCTGGAGTTCTTAGGAGCAGAACTGTGTCCAGTTTTGGGCACCACATGTCAAGAAAGGCATGAACAAACTGGAAAGACCCCAGAGCAGAGCAACAAAACGGACCAAAGGTTTAGAAGACCTGATCTATGCAGAAAGGTTGAAAGACCTGGGCATGGGTTGTGTGGAGAAGAGGAGTGGGGATCTCAGAACAGTCTTCATGTGTGTAAACGGTTCTTAGGAAGAGAACAGGAATCAGTAATTCTTCATGTCCCTTGTGGGTCGCTCAAGAAGGAGGGGGCTTCCCATGAGACAAGGGAGACTTAGGATGGATATTAGAAAAAAAAGTTCTAACAAGGATAGTTAAGTGGTGGACCAAGTTAAGACATCCTTTCCCCCTTCTTCCCAACAGCTCCCTCTTGTGCTGAGAAATGCCCGCCCTGTTACGGAATCATAGCATCACAGGGTTGGAAAAGACCTCAGGAGTCATGGAGTCCAACCCCCTGCCCAAAGCAGGATCAACCCCAACTCCATCCTCCCAGCCAGGGCTTTGTCAAGTCAGGTCTTAAAAACCTCTAGGGATGGAGATTCCACCCCCTCCCTCGGGAACCCATCCCAGTGCTCCTAGGGAAATAGTTTTTCCTAATCTCCAATCTAGACCTCCCCCACTGCAACTTGAATGCAACTTATGTCCTATGTCATCCTGCTGATGGTGCCTCCCCTCCTTACGTATAATGGGAACCACAGTTCTGCCTAATGACTCGTGGCTCCAGATGTGGCTCACCTGGGCCGGTCTCGCAGGTGAGGGGGAACTGCTGGATCCCAGGGATGGAGGCGTTGCCATAGTAACTGGTCTCCCGGACCCACCAATAGGGTCTCTGCCCAAAGAGGATCCTAGAAGGCAAGAATAAAAGGCCCGACGTTAGCCTGAGGATGCTGCTCCATGCGTACCCTGCCCATGCCTCAGGCTCATCCTGCAGCCATTTCCCCCTTTCCGGGATGGTGCAGAAAACTTGCGGCAGGGCACATGAGCCATTCAAGCTACCAACCGTGGGCTGCTTCTGCTGGGGTGAACCAGACAACCGGGGTGCCCTTGCGCTGGCTAGCCCATCGTCCTCCCGCCAGCTCAGCCCTTCTTGACTCCAGAGGCAACTCCATCCCCTTCCCCCCACGGGTCAGCGTCTCATGGGAGGAGCCAGTCAGGAGAAGAGCAGACGTGATAAGGGGTGAAGCACATAGGCCCGGATGGAGGCTCCTATGCCCACATCCTCCTTGAGCTCATGTTCCAGGCATTCTCCCTGCCACTTTCTGTCATGAGCAGAACGTTGTTGCCCCCAGGGTGGTATGTTAGCCCCAAATTTTGTACCACGTGGGCCAAGTGACGGGTCTGTTGAAAGTGTATCCTTTGTGGGTTCTGTTTATACCACAGGCTGGACCTCTAATATCTGGGGCTCTCTGCTCCAGCAATATCCACCGTCTGGGAGGACAACACGTACTGCTGGACCAGAGAACCCCAGCTGGCCAAGTTTAGGGGCTGGGCTGTTTAATTTGTTCTTTTACCAATTTTGCTCTCAATTTTTCTTTCTTTCTTTCTTTCTTTCTTTCTTTCTTTCTTTCTTTCTTTCTTTCTTTCTTTCTTTCTTTCTTTCTTTCTTTCTTTCTTTCTTTCTTTCTTTCTTTCTTTCTTTCTTTCTTTCTTTCTTTCTTTCTTTCTTTCTTTCTTTCTTTCTTTCTTTCTTTCTTTCTTTCTTTCTTTCTTTCTTTCTTTCTTTCTTTCTTTCTTTCTTTCTTTCGTTTGTATACCCTCCCGCCTGTAAGGAGGAGTGCTGGAGTGTGTAAAGCGGTTGCTTGTATTACTTCTTGCTAGCTGGGGGGCAGCGGACGTGCTCGGTGTGGTGGGTTTGGTGCCTTGTAGCGGGGGACCCCCAGTCTCGGGCTGGAAGTAGCCCTGGTTCTAAGCAACTCGGTCTGATTTGACCCTCTCAGCGGTGCCCCCGAACTCATTAAATTACCAGCTATAAAGAATGCACTTGGGTTTTAAAAACATTCAGGCTTTGGATGGCAGCCTGTACTCATCGACCGCAAAGCACTGTGTGTATCACAGCAGGAGAAAAGGAGGCTACCTGGCCCTGTATCACACCATAGGTCAGTGGCATCTCTGTGTCCTTGGTAAGCCCCTAGCCACGGCCCCACACCTGACAGCCCTTAAACGCCAGCCCCTCTGGGCAGTGATGCCAGCAGGAGCACACTTGCAGTGTGGTGCTCCCTTGCTAGTCCCGCTGTTAGATCACTCCCTGGCTGCCAGCAAGGGGGAGCCTGGGGAAAGTTTGGAGATAGATCCTTGGTGGATCTGAATCTATCAAGGGTTTTCTTGGGTGTGACTGGGCTGCTGTGCCCTGTAAAGAACAGTCAGAAGCAGCTCGAGCTGGCGAGGAGGGTTCTCACGGGCACTGATCCACGAACTGGAGCTGGACAATCGATGCAATTCCAGGCTTCGTTCCGGGGCTGACTTGGAAGGAAATCAGCGATGGAGGAACTTGTCTTTGGAAAGCGCCAGCTGGGAGCCACCCTGATCCCACTGGGTAAGTGCCCACTTCACAGCCAAACAACCCTCAGGAAGAAGGGATGATGAGTGTGCAGCGAGGATCCCTTTAATCCCCCCCCCCGTGTGTAGAATAAATTTTGTTGCATGCACCGAGGCATGTGTGGATGTGCACCACCTCAGAAACACATGCTGCCAGCTGTGGACAGGTGCTCGGCTAATCAGCTTGGGCAGCCCCCGAATCTCTCCTGAGCGGCCGCCCAAGCATTCAGCTACAGATGTGCAGGGCAAGCAGCAGGCCCAGCGGGGGCTACTCACCACTTAAAGACCAGGTTGAGCCAGTCCCCGATGACAGCCACCCAGATCAGCTTGACGCCCACGGCCTCGGAGAGGTGGAACCAGATGGGGAAGAGGATGAAGAAGGTGTTTCTGAGGTCGGCGGCGAAGGAGACAAAGAGGAACCAGTCCTGGGAGCTCTGGTAGTTCTCCTGCAGGTAGCGAGTGGCCTGGATGCCCGCGTCATGCAGCACGTTCATGCCTGCCTCCATTCCGCTTCCCTATCAACACTTCTGAGCGTGCTGAGTGGATGAGACCGCACAGCTCCCGGGCTGGTTTTATACCCTGCCAGGCTCTTGTTTGCAGCCGGCAAGTTGCTGCCTCCTGCACTGATCTTTGGACCCAACACACTTTTGTCAAACCCCCTCTTGAGCAAAGGTGCAGCACCGGGGGGCTGATACAAACATGTTTGGAGCCACTTACGTAAAAGAGAGAAGGAGGCTGACAAAACACCAGGCTGTTTGCATCCCCTGGCCGGAGGGCACCATTAACCCTTTGCGACACCCTGCTCCTGGCTAAGGGACAGTAACCCAGTTGAAATCCCTCCGGCTGCTATGTTAAAGCGGGGGGGGGTTCAAACTTTTTTTTTCTCATGATCCAATTGGAGAAAATGGTTGATGCCACGACCCTATCGAATTTGACTGGAGGGTGGGCTCCGGCAGGGCTGCATTATGACTTTCGTGGGCCCTAGGCACTTTTGCCTTCGTGGGCCCCTCCCACCATCATAATATCAATATTAACAATTATTTTTTGTATAACTTTAAATACGTCAACATATTTTTTTCTGTTTTAGGCAAAATGTAATAGATTTTCGTGGGCCCTAAAAGTTTCATTTTTTTTCTGATGTGAGAAAAAAATGAAAACATTTTCTTCGACCCTAAAAGTTCATTTTTTTCCTTCTGATTTTAAAAGAAATTAAAACATTTTCGTGGGCCCCTAAAAGTATCGTGGGCCCTAGGCACTGCGCCTACTGTGCCTAATGGATAAGTCGGCCCTGGGCTCCGGGGTGGAGCTGAGGATGGGAGATTTGGGCTGTAGGAAGAGGCTCCAGCTTTGGTGGGGGGCAGGGCTAGGGCAGGAGGGGCTGACCTCGAGCAGCTTCCAGTAGGTCAGGGTGCTAAGGAGGCTTCCTGCCTCTCCTGGCACCGCAGACCAGGCTGCACCCCAGAAGCAGCCAGTAGCAGGTTCCCAGCCCGTGGGAGCACGGGGCTAATACTCGGGGCAGAGCGTAGAGCCCTGTGCTATAGACTCCTCCGCCCCCCAGGAACCGGGCCACTTCTGGGGCGCAGCTCAGTCTGCGGTGCCAGGACAGGCAGGGAGCACCGGTCAGTTACACGTGTCAAGATCGTTATTGGAAGAGAACCCGCAGGACGGAGAGTAGCACGTGAGGGGCAGGAAGCGCGTCGCGCGCAGGCCGAGGGCTACGCTGCCTTGTCCCAGAGACCTACTAAAAGCAGCAGCGTCACTTTAGCACGTTACTGGAGCGTGGCAGGGGCCACGCGGGCCCCGATGCACTTATACATCGCTCGGGCTTGATTCGCAGCCGACATTTGCGGGTGAACGGGGCGTAAGACGCAGGAGGCAGGCCGGCGCAGGATCACAGCAGAGAGCACTTGCTGGGGGTGGCGGTGGGTAGGAGATAATCACCTCTGTGGCCTTCGCATCCCCTGTGGTTTAACTGGGAGCTGGCCCAGACTCTGCTGCCTGGAGCGAGTGTCTGGAGAGACACTTCGCTGGGCTTTGCATGGCCTCCAAGGAGCTGAGGAGTTCAGTTCCCCGGGCTCCCCCGCTTCCCACATGCACAGTGCGGCCCGGGCACAGCGCACCACAGAGCAGGTGGCGTGCACGGCAGAGGGCCCCGTCCTGCTCCCGTTGCAGGCAGCGTTCAAGCTCCCGTGTACCGCAGTGGGGATGCCCTTGCCAATGCTGGCATGGGCAGCTGGTAAGGTAAACTGCCTACACATCCAGGCCACCAGGGAAGGCAGGAGTTGCTGCGCCAGCCCTGCTCCTTGGCTGCTGGGGAGGGCTGGAGTTGGGGCAAGGGTCAAGGCTGCACATGGTAGCCCCAGCCCTCCACGTGGGCGGGGCTTGAGTTTAGGGGCGGGGCCTCAGGAAGAAGGGGCGGAGCTAGGGCTTGCGGCTCTGAATCTGGCCCCACTCGCCAGCTTGCTGCCTTAAAAGCTGAGCTTCCCAGGGTACATCAGAGGCCCAGAGAAACTACCAGTTAAATTCTACTCCTAATCACTGAGCTCATGTCGCCAGCTCTGCAGCTGCACTGGGCTCCTGCCCCGACGGCGCCGCCCTGCCCCGAGCCCAGGTATCCTGCAAAAGCTCCCAGCCCGCCCCCCACGCAACGCAGTGACTAAGAATCGGAGACAGGCAGGCCTTGAAACGGGTTCCAAGCAAAGGTGGAACCTGCTGATTTTGGAGAGTAAAACCCTGAAGGATGTCGGACTCTGATCCAGCATCAGCCTGGGAGGGTTGAACCAAGCCAAGGGAATATGCACATTTCTTGACCCACCCATCCCTAAGTTGGTCTAAGTTTGGCCTCTCCTCCCCTGCAGCTGCCCTGCTGTCGAGGAAATGGCAGCCCATGGCATTATCAGCCAGGCTCTCCTGATAAGCATGAATTATGGATCCGGTATCTGCCTGGCGTGCCAGCCACCTGCAACCACGCGCCAGTAGCATGCGGGCCACTCAGCCACCCAGATTCGCTGTCAAGTGCTGAGTAAGGAGAACTGGCTTTTATCGCCGCTGATTTGGGTCCAGCTCCGCCGTGCTTGCCAAGGGGGCAGATGTAGGACCCGCTGGCCGCGTCTGGGCAGATAGTGCATTCGCTGAGATTCTGGGGCCCAGAGGGGTGGTCGTCCGGGGCTGCACACGGAGGAGGGTGCGTGGCTCATGCAGGCTGGAGGCAGGATTGTCCCTTTCACAGAGAGGCCGCTGGGTGGGGTTGCCAGGTATCCGGTTTTTGCCCGGACTGTCCATTATTCCAGTAAAAAAAACAGAAAATACTGCATATGTGAAATGTCCGGTATTTCCTGTTTCCCTCGGATGGAAGCCCAGTGGGCGGTGAAGACAATTGTCCCCTGCTGCGTCTTGGGAGTGAAGGGCCATTTAAAGACACAGCTCACCCTTTCTTTTTTTTTTTGCTCAACAACTTTGGTTTCCCCCCTTTTTTTTCTCAACCACATTTTTTCCCGGTGTTTTTTTTGGGGGGGGGATATTTTTTGTTAAACCATCTGGTAACCCTACCATTGGGACACCTGGCATTGGCCACTGTCGGCAGACAGGACACTGGTCTAGATGGACCCCATATGGCCGCTCTTATGGGGCCCTGGCTCTGGGAGGGCAGCCGTCACAGAGGGGCAGAGGCACTGGCAGGAGTAATGGAGCTAAGGTTAGGGAAGCCCTGGCTGCAGAGGATGGAGGGAAGGGAGAGACGGACCCTAGGCCGTGGGCTCAGCCTTCAGGAAGAAGGCTGGAGATGTTCTGGGGAGAAAGGGCAGGGACTCTCATTAACCATCCTGCATGGACATGGTGGCACCACCAGGCCAGGGAGAGCTGCAGGGTGGCAGCCGGGGGCTGGGCACAGGCAGAGTGGAGCTGCTGCCTGTCCACCCGCCTGCCTGGTTCCAGCCGCCCGGCTCTCGCTGCTGTTGAAACTTGAGGGGGAGGAGGTGCTAACCAAACAGCAGTGACGTTACCTAACCAAACAGCCGGCGGCCAAACTCCTCTGCCCCAAAACATGTTGACGGACGCAAGCAGGGGAAACAACACGGGGGGAGGGGGTACATGTTTGCCCGGCAGTGAAAACGCAACCCTTATCGCCGCTCCGCGAGAAAGCTCGGGTCAAGAGCCTTGAACCGCACCACTCCCCGGCTAGGTCACGTCCCCAAGAGCGGGGCCCTGCTGACAAACAACGGACGCAGCGCAGCGGGACACACGCTCAGCCTCCGAACGCGCCACCCGCTAAATCCCGCCCCATCCACCGCTCCCAAGCGGCCGCTTGCGTGAGCTGCGGGACCAGCCCTTCCCGTAGCTTTTCTTAAAGCTCCAGCTCCTGGAATCAGGGGATCACGAGAGAATCCCAGCCGTGCTTCCATCAGCATGCAAGGAGCTAGGCCTCCTGGCGGCAGAGAGGCGCTGGAAACAGCATCCCCAACATGAGTGATTGAAAAAATAACTCACGATTTGGGAGCCAGGGTTGAGAGAGGGGTCCTGGCTTGGGATATTGTAACTGTGGGGGCTGGCGATTCTCTGGTGGCCTCCCAAGGCAGTAACACAAGCAGCGGGCACTATGTGCCGTTCCCCGCCCCCAGACGTCGGCTTGCCCCCTGACTTTCCACAGCTCTACGTGCTCCACGTTTGCCCTCCTCCCAGCAGCGCAGGAAACACCTTGACGGTTCTGTCTTTTCTGTAACGGTGCCGAGGACAGAAGGATTCTCACGGCAGCTTTTCCTCAGGTACAAAGTGCTGGGGGCTGGGCCCTGCATGGACATAGAGATTTACAGAGCGCACGCTGCCCATTTCAGCCACCCAGGCCTGGCTCTTTGGCTCCTTCCTCTTCAGGGACACTTGCCCAGTGGTTCCCAACCTCCTTTATACCGCGGCCTGGCAAACCCATTCACAAACTTTTGGCGGACGAGTAACATTGTATTTGCATATTCATCATGCAACTAATGAATAGGCAAATACGCCACTACCATTTCGCTGGTCCACCAAATATGTGCCCTGGCCCCCCGAGCCTCTGCACAGCAGCCGGCTTCCACTCCAACAGCCCTGGCAGCCCAGGCGCCAGCGGTTCACGGGCCAGCAGACCAGTGGTTGGGAACCACGGCACTAGCCAATGCTCAGGCTGCATCCCTGGAGCCGGCACCACTCCTGAACCTGCCCTTTCCCAGCCCCAGAGCCCTGCTCCCCGGGTCAGACAGACCCTACTTCCTCAGTTTATTAGCCCTGACCCGCCTGCTTCATCGGCTCAGCCTGGGGTGCACCTGCACCGGCCTAGGGGCAGTGGGCCTACTTCCCCTGAAAGGACCGGCCACCCTGTGACAGCCGCCCAGGGAAAGGTGGGGGTTTACTCCCCATTTATCTCATGGCCAGCAGCCCTACCACATACAAATTGTGAATCTAAGAAGAGAGGCTGCACCCGCACCTCCGCCCATCTCGCCTCAGCTCAGGAGCAGCCCTGTGCAGCGCTCGGCGCCGACCCGACTTGGCCCCTCACCACTAGCCCAGCACAAAGACGAGGCAATCAGCAGCCGCTTCCTGGCGAGGGGC